TCTTTTCCTCCTCCCAGTGCGACCCCACTCGCAATTCTCTGAAGTGGAAATCATCTGCGTCGGCAGCTACCGTAGGATTTTCGCTTTGTATGGCTTCCAAATTTTTTGGAAGAATTCGTTTAAAAATCGTCTTCCTATGTAAGCAGAAAACCAATCACTGAAAGCCATCATGTGTAGGATCATCGAGTCGTGCTAAATAATCGCTGCCATCTACATGGAATTGTGCATGATCACGTGTGGGCTCGAAAGGATCGTTCATCAAGAGGTGTACACGGTTGGTTCATTATTAATAGTAAATTAATATTTATAAGTATAAGTTTATAACGCCTGCGGAAGGCAAACGTGACTGAAATAACGTGCTTATCAATTGTTTTAGTTCAAGGGAATATTCAGGAAGCCTCCTCTATGTAGTTCACGAACTCAGTCAACTTGAAGGCATTAGAGCCATGATGAAAAAACGCAATGTAACTACCGAACGCTTATACAAACATCCAATTGCGTGAAAACCAAAGATAATATGGTTTGCTAATCAGTCTCAGAAAACGTTAGGACTCGGCATTGCTTCGTAGCAAGTTAACTACACGGCGTTGAATTGTGCCAGCGATAGTGAGGCGGGTATATTTTTCACTAATTTCAGATAATCACTGCCAGCCCTAAAGTGAAGCTCCTCGCTCGCAAATTAGTTTTGGGTCGTGCCAGCGGAATCTTCAGAGAGCCTCCTTAAGTTCTCCAATTCGGTCACCTTGACTTTGTAGTCACAAGGCTCCTACGGACCATTAGAAAGAGAAATCTTCCAATCTAGGGATTCTTGAGCATTTTTTTTCAGTTCCATTTATTCCTTGTTGTATTCTTGTCACAGGAATTTGAGGTAAAGCGAGGCTATTGATTGAATAAGAATAATAATAGTGACCAATAAATATCGTCGTTAATACTCGCTGAATAGTGTTGCTGCTTGAAATGAATAAAAAAATAGGGAGTTGCGAGGAACTTACAGTGGACCCACCTTTTAGGATAAGAGAGCGATGGTGAGCAATGGAGTAGTGCCGTCCTTGGAAATAGGGTTAACCTTCCGTTGTGCCACATTCAGCGAGGGTTTCGCATTGGTGACTGTAGCGCATTTTCAGGAGTTGTAAGGGGTCGTATTCGAGAAGTGCAGAGAATCGTGTTAGGGAATGTTGAAAGGTTGTATTATATGTGGTGGGTGGAAGTGGTGTAGTGGCAAGTGGCACGCTTACCACGCGAGCGGTCCGGGGATCAAATCCTGGGTCGTGAGTCGCCCGGGCCAACCAAGCCTTCCATCCCTCCGGGGTCGGT